AGGGCAAGAGGGAGGCAGGTCGGGTACTGTAGGGGATTAGAGGATTACCAAGGGTAGGGGTTTTAGGGGATGCTCCCCTTATTAGGGTTGCTGGGCGGGAACGACGAGATGGGCGACTGTGGACGCATAGGGTCTACACGCGCGTGGCTGGCGCGCCCGGCTGACAGCGGCGGAAATGAACGCAACGGTCGAGACGGACTGCGGTACAGTACCAAGGGTACTGTAGGGGATTAGGGGATTACCAAGGGTACTGTACTTTTATTTATGTGTTTTTGCAAGTAAAACTAATAAACTGGTCAGTTTCTTCCCTTTACTTTTTTGGGGACCCGACGCGCGCCCGCGCCGGACGGCTCGGCAGCGCGCTTGGGCGCGCCTGTGTCCCAACTTGGGACTCTCAACACTCGGGATGGATACAGGCCGTTGGGAGTCCCAACGTGGGAGTGCATACAGGCCGCTGGGAGTGGAGTCCCAACGTGGGAGTGCCAACGGCCTGTATCCATGTATCCATCCCGAGTCAGGATACAGGCCGCGGCTGCCGCCATTCCCGCCCGCCCGCGCGCGCCCCGGGTTCTCCCTGGTTGTAAATAAAGTTTTTTATTTCGCCCCCCCCCCGCCGCTGACACCGGCCCGCGTCCCATCCCGCGCTCTCCCGCCCCGTCCGCGTTCGCCTCGCGCCGTCCGACACGCCGCGCCGCACCGCCTCCGACGCGAGCGCCGCGGAGAGCGCGAAAACATTACTGTACACCGACGCCCCCCAGTTTCACGCTTTTACGCTTTTTATTTGCGACCCGTGCACTGCTGCGCATCGTCGTGCATCGTCGTGCATCGTCATGCACAACACTCCTCCCGCCTGTCCCCCGCTGCACGGCGTGCCCCGCCGCACACGGCCTTGCCTTCTCGCCCCGCGACAACGTGTGCGCGCGGAAACCGCCGGCGCCCACGCATCCCCCGCTGCCTGCTCCCGCTCCCCCTTACCACGTCTTGGGAACAGCTCGATGACACTACT